AAAAGAAAAAAGAATATGGGTGCGTATTTTTTCCAGGTGTGGGTTTTTTTCCTCACTTTACTACTTTTTCTTTTATATCGCTTAATTCAATTATATTAACTTTTATTATTATTATTTTATAATGACGTGGTATATACTCACCAAATTACACAATCTTACATTTAAGTAATCTCTGTTCCCATGAGGTGGGTGGGGGAGGGGGCCGGCTTTAGGAGCCTCCATGTATACTTTGCGAAATAAATATTAACAAAATTGATAAAATCAATTTCGTAAAATAAATTAATTCGATTTTTTCAATTATTTTTTTATTTTTAATAAAATAATTAATAATAAATAATTATAACAACTTATAATTTAATTAACTCTATTAATTAATATTATTAAAACAATAATAAACATTAATAATTAAGTAACAAGTAAATTAATTTCGATGAACTACTGTATCTGATGGGTAACATTGAATTCCAACTGATGTGAGACTTGATGGAATATTAACACTACTCAACCTTTGGCATCCATAAAAACAATAATTATCAATCGATGTCACACTCGATGGGATCGTAACACTTCTTAAACTACTGCATCCACTGAAACAACAATCACTGATTGATGTCACACTTGATAGTATTGTAATACTGCTTAAATTACTACATTTACAGAAACAATAATAACCAATTGATCTCACATTTGATGGTATTGTAACATTAGTTAAATTAATACATTTATAGAAACAAAAATCACCAATTGATGTAACACTTGATGGTATTGTAATACTCCTCAAACTACTACAAAAACTGAAACATTGACTTCCAATTGATGTCACATTTGATGGAATTGTAATACTGCTCAGACTACTGCATCCATAAAAACAATATATACCAATTGATGTTACACTTGATGGTATGTTAACACTGCCCAAACTACCACATTCATAGAAACAACAATCACCAATAGATCTCACAATTGGTGGTATGTTGTTACCAAATTTCTTTCTATCATTTTGAGTGTAAGTGACATTTTTAAACTCGATGTTTCGACTTTTGTTTCTGTCAACAGTTTCAAAGTCAACATTGAACCACACAATAATTCGAAAGAACTTTTTCTTCAAAAAACTTTTATTTTCACAATCTTCATTTTCTCTTCTGTTGATCATAAATCCATTACCAAAATTTTCATCTTTTTTATTCCACAAATGAAGTGTCTCGATGTTTGGGAAGTATTCAAGTGTTTTGGAATTCAACGTAATTGGGTTGAAGTGGAATTTCTCCATATTTCCTCTAAACTTCTTGCATACCAACTCCAAGTTAATAAAGTCGTTAATAGTTTTGAGGTACTTCGAAACTATCATGATGTGATACCCAGAAAGTCTGCACATTTCGATATTCTCAGTTTTTGTTTGTTTAACTATTTATAAAATTCTTTTTGTAAACATTTTAATAAATTATTGATTAAGAATTGTTCATTGTTTTAAGTTATTAAAAAATAGAAAGTGCTATTCTAAAACAGTAAATTAATGAATTTAATATTAATAAAATATCATAATTCTCAAAATAATTAAAAACAGGTAAACATGAATGATATTATTTGCGATTGTTTTGAAAGATAATAATTCAATATAACTTTTGTTCTTTACCAAAATTTTATGATAAAAATAATTAAATAATTATTGTAATTCAATTTAAACCAGACCAAATATTTTTATAATAAAGACCCGTGAAATACATGCACAAGTCTACTTGATATTATAAAAATAATAATAAATATACAATTTATAAGTTATATATTAACTTTGTTACAAAAACAAAAATCGAACTTTTTGATTATTGAAATGCATAACCACAGTTAGGCATTTTTTCAATATTTTAATTTTAAAAACAGGGAACTAGTGTTAACTCTTTCCAATACAAACACATTTTTTTTCAAATTGGATTCTTACCAAAAAATGTTTAATGTTTTAATATTACCAATTTTTTGACTAAAAGCAAAGTTAATTGTTGTTTTTTGTAATTACAGTCAAAGTCGGTTATTTGTAGGTTTTTGTATTTGTGGGTTTTGCTTATTTGTGGGTTAACTGACCAATCAAAATTAAAACATACAAATAGGTTGTATCTTCTCGAAACTAAATAATTAATTGAAATCAATTAAATTAACTTTATTTTTTGAGTGTATTTGAAACAAAATTTAATATGGAATAAGACTTCTTTTGTATTTTTTAACTTATTTAATTTAATTATTATAA